AACAGGTTTAGATAGCATAAAAATCATACTGACTGATTATCTCCTGCTATTACTATTGTAAATAATAGACAGGTGTGTTTCTATTGATCATATTATTGTGCAAGTTGGAATTACAACAATAAATTTACCTAATGGAAACACACCATTTTGAAAAAAACATGTTTTTTGATTATTTTTTTTTGCGTTAGGTTGAGTTGGTTTTCTCACTGTATAAATTAGTTTATTTCACAAAACTGCAACAGACACACATTTTTCACATCGTGTCGTGTGATCAACAACTGGATGTTACTACTGGCAGAAATAACAAAGAAGATGACAGGAAGTATTAAAGAATGATGCTGCTGCAGGTTTTTTTTTAGTTTCTCATAAATCCTTTATTGTCACACGGTAAATATCATATTCATTGTTCCTGGTAGGGAAATCCATGCTTTGCTGTATTGTACAATGAAGTTAAGTTTTATATTAAGAGTCTGACAGAAAGTAGCTATTAAAACAATTGAAATCTGTACTGCTTTGAATTAGCTTTTTCTTGAACACTGTTTATCTGTATTTGTTTTTCGTGAAAGAAATGTTTCACTGTCGTTATACAGTGTGTCTGGGAATAAAGTAAAAAAAAAAACATCTTCCCCCCGCTCCTCCCCCCTCGCGCACAACAGACTTCTTGTGGCTTTGATGCGAAACTGTGATGTCACTCATCCTCTCTGTGACATCATTGGTGACTGTCTCTATATTCCAAGATTCTACAGAGAGATTCATTTGCGATTTCATAAAGTTGAAGGACAATGGCGCAAAATAGTGTATCGACCACTTTGGGAGTTTTAGAGAAACGCTGCAAAGAGTTGGAGAACGAGAACTTGCAACTCAAAATAACCGTTGATAAACTGAGGAGCAAGTTGGAGCGAATGAGCAGCAACTCGGACTGCAACTCTCGGTTTTTCAGGGAGCAAAATAGAATGCTCCTTGATTTGAAGGAGGAAAATGAAAACCGGATCAGGGCCCTGACCGAGGAATTAAAGGAGGCGAGAGGGACGATTAAATCCTTAAAAACTGAATTTGAGGACATAAATAAAACGAACAAGCAAATGCAACAAACAAGTATTTGCATTCGGCGAGAGGCCCACAGCCGATTAATGGAACACAACAGGGATCGCTTGTGGATGGAATCGGAAACTGATGAGTTAAATAAGGAGGTTGTGGTTTTGAAGATAAAATTGGATCGCATTAAATCTAAAAATAGCGGTCAAGATATGCAGAAAACATCAACACCTGCAGAAACAGTAGAAATCAACACTGAAGAGACACCGACAGTGTTTCAGAGAGTCGGGCGTGCTTTCCTGAATATGTATGAGTCAGGAACTTTAAAATATTGGGTTCCATCTTGGATATTTTAAAATCCATGATGGATATTAAAATATGATCACAACAAAAAACACGCCCGACTCTCTGAAGCATTGTCGGTGAGAGCAGGTCTGGGTTGAAGGACGGAAGAGAGGAGGCTCCGTCTGATAGTGGATCCTCGGATTGTGGAAGAGCAGTGTGGTTTTCGTCCTGGTCGTGGAACACCAGTTAGTCGGACTCGTTCCCTGTGAGAGTTGGACTCCGCCAGGGCTGCCCTCAGTGATTCTGTTCATCACTTCATGGACGGAATTTCTAGGGGCAGTCAAGGTGTTGAGGAGATCCGTTTTGGTGGACTTAGGATCGCATCTCTGCTTTTAGTGGATGATGTGGTCCTATTGGCTCCATCGGGACGTGATCAGCAGCTCTCGCTGGAGCGGTTCACAGCCGAGTGTGAAGCGGCCAGGATGAGAATCTGTGCCTCCAAGTCCGAGGCCATGGTCCCGAGCCGGAAAAGGGTAGAGAGCCTTTTACCGGGTCGAGGCCAGTGTCCTGCCCCAAGTGGAGGAGTTCATCTCGGGATCTTGTTCACGAATGATGGAAGAGGGGAGCGAGAGATTGACAGACGGATCGGAGCAGCGTCTGCTGTGAAGTAGGTGCTGTACCGGTTCATCATGGTGAAGAGAGAGCAGAGCTGAAAAGCGAAGCTCTCGATTTACCAGTCGATCCACGTTCCCGCCCTCATTTATGGTCATGAGCTCCTGGATACAAGCGGCCGAAATGGACGGACGGGTGGACAGACGGACAGCGGGTGGACAGACGGACGGCGGGTGGACAGACGGACGGACGGGTGGACGGCCGGATGGATGGACGGACGGGTGGACGGCCGGATGGATGGACGGACGGGTGGACAGACGGACGGACGGATGGGTGGACAGACGGACGGCGGGTGGACGGACGGACGGATGGGTGGACAGACGGACGGCGGGTGGACGGACGGACGGATGGGTGGACAGACGGACGGCGGGTGGACAGATGGACGGACGGGTGGACAGACGGGCGGATGGATGGACAGACGGGTGGACAGACGGACGGCGAGTGGACAGACGGACGAATGGATGGACAGACGGACGGGTGGACAGATGGATGGAAGGACGGGTGGACAGACGGATTAGTTACAGTAAATAACTATTTACTGTAACTATTTAACAGTAAATAACTATTTACTGTTAAATAGTTACAGTAAATAACTATTTAACTAGTAAATAATGTAGTTACAGTTATTTATTGTAACTATTTAACTGTAAATAACTATTTACTGTTAAATAGTTACAGTAAATAACTATTTAACTAGTAAATAATGTAGTTACAGTTATTTATTGTAACTATTCAACAGTAAATAAATATTTACAGTTAAATATTTACAGTAAATAACTATTTAACTAGTAAATAATGTAGTTACAGTTATTTACTGTAACTATTTAACTGTAAATAACTATTTACTGTTAAATAGTTACAGTAAATAACTATTTAACTAGTAAATAATGTAGTTACAGTTATTTATTGTAACTATTCAACAGTAAATAAATATTTACAGTTAAATATTTACAGTAAATAACTATTTAACTAGTAAATAATGTAGTTACAGTTATTTACTGTAACTATTTAACAGTAAATAGTTATTTACTGTAACCAAACATCTCATTATATGAGCTACTTCTCAGTTATTTACTGATAGATAGTTACAGTAAATAACTATTTAACTAGTAAATAATGTAGTTAGTTATTTACTGTAACTATTTAACAGTGAATAACTTTACTGTTATTTAAATAACAGTTAAATAAATAAAAAGTTTATTTAACAGTAAATAAATAACTATTTACTTATAAATAGTTACAGTAAATAACTATTTAACAGTAAATAGTTACTGTTAATGTCAGTTACTTTCCACATGAAGTAGTCAGTAATATAAATTACTAATTCAAGGAGTAATCAGTAATCTGATAAAAGTTACTTTTTCAAAGTAACTCTCCAGTCACTGCCTGTGTGTAGATAGTCCGGCTGTAATGAGAATACTAGAAAATTCCTGAAGAAATTTAACCGGGGCCTGCCAAAGTGTGCCCGTCGATTTGGATCCAGCGTTCTGATGCTAAACATTAGCATCCATGCTAAAGAAAGCTGCAATGTCATCAATAGCACGTGGATAGTCACAAGCATGAATTATTGAACATGGGTAATAAGTAAAGGAAACAGCTAATACCTCATTTATGGTAAAAGGCTAATGCTAATGCTCTGCGTTGCTGCGCAAGGCAGAGCCCTAAACTGAGAGAAAAAGATCATGCAGGATAATCTTATTGCACTGCCTATGGCAGTGCACTAGTGGGGAACAGTGAAATGCTAATGTTTGTGCTAATGCTAATGCACTGTCTTGCTGCGCAAGACAGTGCCCTAACTTGTGACGAAAAGATAAAGCAAGCTAATATCATTGCAGCGCCTGCGGCGCTGCATTGGCCACAGATGAATCTTAAGACTTTTATTTTGAAATTTTCAGTGAGCTTCATTTTAAATGGCCAATGTAATCCCATGTGTAACAATTTTTTGGTAAAATCAGACATAAAATGGTCAAAAGAGCACTTAATTGATGGAAAAATTGTCAATGCTTTTATTTAGAAAATTTTTTAAAGCTTAATTTAAAATTTCCACACTAATTCTATGTGTAACAATGGTTGGTTAAAAAGAGTTATAGAAGGCCCAAAACACGAGCAGTTCTAAAGTCCAGCTTTTTCCTCAGAGTTCTGCAATAGTTAGAACTACAGTGATGCGGTTTTGTAGTCCTAATCAGCTGGCCCTGCTGTGTTCCGTTGCTATGGTAATGGATTCTCTGCAGGCTGTGAGTCAGACAGGGGGAGACATAATTCTATCAGTTTGTGGCAGCCATTTTCACTAAAATAGGCATGAGCCAGAAAGGAGTCGTAAGGCTTTTATTTTGAAATTTTCAGTAAGCTTAATTTTAATTGTCCAAAATAATCCAAAGTGTAACAGTGGTTTTGTTAAAAAAGTCACATAATCCCCAAGAGAGCAATTCCATAATATAAAAGAATGTCAGAGCTTTTATTTTGAAATTTTAATTCAACTTAATTTAAAATTACCACACTAATCCTGTGTGTAACAATGGTTGGATAAAATCAGTTATAAAATGCCCAAGACACAAGTAGTTCTAAAGGCCAACAGCTTCCTCAGAGCTCTACCATAATAAAAACTGTAGTGATGCGTATTTGTAGTCCTAACCACTGGCGCTGCTGTGCTCCGTTGGTATGGTAATGGATCCTCTGCCAGCTGTGAGTCAGACAGGGGGAGACATAATTCTATCAGTTTGTGGCAGCCATTTTCACTAAAATAGGCATGAGCCAGAAAGGAATCTTAAGGCTTTTATTTTGAAATTTTCAGTAAGCCTCGTTTAAATGTCCAATCTATTCACATGAGTAACAGTGATTGTGTTAAATCAGTTCTAAAATGCTCCAAACAGCAATTGATATAAAAATTGTCAAGGCTTTTATTTTGAAATTTTCATTAAGCTTAATTTCATTAAGATTAATTAAACTTAATTAACACTAATCCTATGTGTAGCAAAGGTTGGTTAAAATCAGTTATAAAATGCCCAAAACACAAGTAGTTCTAAGGACCAGCTCCTTCCTCAGAGCTCTGCCATAGTAAAAACTACAGTGATGCGTTTTTGTAGTTCTAATCAGCTGCTCGACCCTGCTGTGCTTCGTTGCTATGGTAATGGATCCTCTTCCAGCTGTAATGTGTGTGAGACAGAAAGAATTCTATCTTTGTGAGACGCCCAGTCAGTTTTGACTGAAAAAAGCGGTCCGAACAACTCCTTCCCATTCGGAAACCGTGATACGTATCGGAAAACCGTTTGAAGCGTATGAGAGCGCTATCTTTCGTCTCCGATAGTCCCGCTATTCATATCTGTACATCACTCACATTAATAACAGCGATGAGATAAAAATGGTGTGCGCTGAGGTCTGACATTTTTCAGAAATACATGGAAGTGATCCTGGCTGAGCGAGTCGAAATCCTGTCGCTTGCTTTGCAAGTCAGTAACTGCTCTCCTTATGCATTGCTAGGCAGGCCCCAATTAAAAAAGGACTAAAATGAACCCACAATCTATTTTAAAGAGAGATTTGTGGTTCTTTTCCCCTAAAACTGGGATTAAAGAGGTTAAAATGTAGGAAACATTATGAGAATTTACTGATTCTCATAAAATGAATGATGAGGACTGAAGTTGACAATTCATTCAAATAAAATGTAAAATTATGTTTTTGTAGCAATATTTAAAAAAGCATTGTTTTGTGTGCATGAACCACAGAAAGTTACAGAACAAATCACAAGAAATCAAATATTTATTTCCATTGGTAAAAAAACTATAAATAATGTCACTGAAAATTTCTCTTCAGTTTTTAGGTTTTGGAACTGAGTTTGTTTTGCAGGTTCTAAAATCTTAACAGCAGCACTGGGACCACCAGAAGAAACGAGGGAGCCCAAGGACCACCATGAGGACCACAAGAAGGACCACAAGCAGGACCCCCATGAGGACCACTGGAGTCTTCAAGGGAGCCCTGGGACTACCATCTTTATTTTACCTTTATTGTTGTTGTTTTTTCTATAACACATACAGAAACTGAATCATCTCCTCACTCCCCTCTCCAGGGAAATAGAGATTTAGGTGACGCAGGACATTCGATAACCACTGGGCGTGTTCTGAGATCATGAGCGACGAATCTTTCCGTTTTTTAATGATATGCTGTATAGACTCGGGTCCCCTGTTTTCACTTCTAGTCTGTGATGTAAGCATCTCTTTTTTAGTGCTAAAAAAGAATTTAAAAAAGTCTGATTGCTTTGTGTTGGCTGATTTTCTGCTTGTGGGCTTGCACGTTTTTGGTCGATCAGTTTAGATAGAAAAATACATACTGTTTTTCACAACAGTATAGATGTGAATATATTTTTCACACTTTATGAAAACCTAACTGGAAAAGTTGTATCTTATTTTACCAAAAGCTACGAGGGAGCCCTAGGACCTCCATGAGGTCCACTGGAGTCTACAAGGGAGGTCTGGGACCACCAGAAGAAACGAGGGAGCCCTAGGACCACCATGATCAATAACATGTCAGCCCTGTTAAACTGGACCTCTCGGTACACATCTGCCATTTTCTTCATTGACTCGAGGGAGCTCTGTGACCACTGGAGTCGTCCAGGGAGCTCTGGGACTATCTGAGTTGACGACAGAGTCCTGGGACCACCAGGAGGACAAGTAGGAGGACCACTGGAGTCGACAAGGGAGCTCTGGGACCACAGGAGAAGACGAGGGAGCCCTTGGTCCACCAGGAGGACCACCGGGAGAGGACCCGGTGGTCCAAGAGGACACCAATCGACGAGAGAACTTTGGGACCACCGGAGTCAATGAAGCGGCCCTGGGACCATTGGAGTCGACGAGGGAGTCCTGGGACCACCAGGAGGACAAGTAGGAGGACTACTGGAGTCAACGAAGGAGCTCTGGGACCACAGGCGTCGACGAGGGAGCCCGGAGATCACCAGAAGCAAAGAGGGAGTCCAAGAACCACTGGAGTCGACGAGGCAGTCTTGTGACCACCAGAAGCTATGAGGGAACCCTAGGACTACCGTGAGCACCACTGGAGTCAACGAGGGAGCTCTGGGACCACCGGCGTCAACAAAAGTAGCCTGTAGCCTTTACGTGTAAGTTCAGTGGAAGGAAAAAGTGTGGAGAAAAAGTGTGCAATGTGGCTTACTGCATGCTTGAGAAGATCGTCCATTGCAGAGTTTGAGGAACTGTTAGAATTCAGAATCATCTAAATTACAAGAAATAAACTCTTGAAATTTTTAAATATAGAAATCTGTGTGCAGATTTACTCTCTATGACGGGAGTATTACGGATTGCATTGCTAAAACACAATATATTTTTGATTAAATCAAAATTTGAGATTAGTGTATATGAGAAGGATTAAGTCCATGAAATTTAGATAAATATTTAAACACTAGGGGCGACATTCTCTGTTTCTACCAGAATAACTCCGCAGAAGAAGAACAGGAAAACCATTACCGGGTTACGGCCCCCAGAGTAGCTCCCTCTGCTTGTTGTCCGCAGCAGTGAGCTTCATGGCGGCGGTGCGCAGCTTGCGGGTCTCGGTGAAATCCGACAGCGGCTCGGAGCGCTCGGAGTCGGACTCTGACTTCGAGTCGGACAGAGATGGCCGGGAGGCCGAACCGATGGAGGTGGAGGAGGGAGAGCTGGAGGTGGAGGACGTTACGGTTAGCCGCTCCCTGAAGGAGCTGTTGCCGGTGAGTGTCTGAGGGCCGCAGGCAGACCTGGGGCTGGAGTTAACTGGGGCCGGCGGAGCTGTGAGGGGAGGCGGCGTGCGGCGCCACGGAGTCCCCGCCTCGGTCCGGGAGTCGGGGAGACGTTAACCTGGCGGTTAATTGAGTTTAACGGCAAAGATATGCGTTGGTCTTCCAACTTCTTTGTGTCCAGTTTCGAATCTAACAGATTTTAATGAGGACAGGGGGCGTTTGTTTTGCGAAACCTGCTCCCCTTTCCTCAGCTGCTGCCCCTGCACAGTTCCTCCATCAGTTCGCTGTGTTGCTTAAAAGTCGTGTTGTTATCCAGGCGTGGAGCAGACGTTCTCGCCCAAACCCAAGGCCTCCAGCTGAACCACCTGACCCTCCATGTTAACCCCCTGCTGTGTCTTCTCTCTGCTCCAGGACACCAGCCGCAGGTACGAGAACAAGGCCGGAGCCTTCATCACAGGGATCGACGTCAACTCCAAGGTAAGAACACACCTGGATCCAGGTAAAGACACACACCTGGGTCCAGTAAAGACACACACCTGGGTCCAGTAAAGACACACACCTGGGTCCAGTAAAGACACACACCTGGATCCAGGAAAAACACACACCTGGGTCCAGTAAAGACACACACCTGGATTCAGGTAAAAACATACACCTGGATCCAGGTGAGCATGTAAGCCAGTATCTTCTTATGTTAACATATTATGTCTGATATTTGTCTGTTTTTTTTTGTGCTGTGGGATAAATGAAACCCGGCCACTCTCAGGTTGATGGGATCCACTTGAAGCGGCTCTGATCTGACTCTGTTTGCTTTCCAGGAAGCCATTGAGAGGAAGGAGAAGCGGGCGAGACGTTTTCACTTCCGCTGCGAGGAAAATGTCGGTCAGAGGAACGTCTTCCTGGATAAAGACGCCATGAAGAAAGGTGAGGCGGTGTTCTGTTTGCTGCTGATCACCAGGAATTCTGTAAACCGCCGCTTTCTTCTTATGTGATGCCAGCCATCCCCAGGCTGCGGATGGAGGCCATCCATGTGACCGGTGTGGACGACATGAGCACCCAGGACGTCTTCGGCTACTTTAAGGAGTATCCGCCAGCACACATCGAGTGGATCAACGACACGGCCTGTGAGTCCAGAACCGGGAACGAACCGGGCATGTTTGGGTCAGAACCGCAAAAATGTACATTTCTGACTTTTGATCCTTTATGTTTTCTTTGTCAAATGGTGGATATCAGCAAATAGTGCAATTTAGAGCTTTAGCCTTAGCTTCTGCTAAATGCCCCATTGGTATGCTATAATCTGGCTCATTTGCAGTCTATACAGTAGTGTTGACTGTTCATTAATGTGCACTGTTCTTAATAAAGATTAAAGATATAACCTTTAAAGGTAGAGGTATTTTTATTTATAAACTTCATTTTCAGCAACAAGGCAATACAAAGCGCTTTATAGGAATTAAAAGGAAATACAAACAAAATAACAAACCAAAGGAAAGCGCAAAAGAAGAATAAGAATCTAATAATGTTGGTCCAAAGTAGATAAACCAGATACTCCTGTTCTGGGCTGGTAGGTGAGTATAAGTAAGGATCCTCTGGGTTGGAAGAAAAGGAACCTAAGAAGCAGATGCTAGGGTAGTTTTTCTAGGTTCTAGGTTCTAATCCCTGTTCTGCGTTGTTAGATAAGTGTATTAAGTATGTATTCTCTGGACTTTCTGAGTGTGTACTAAATTTGTAAAAGTAATGAGTACGGCACAGTTTGTAAAAACAGTGTTCCTGTTCTGGAAGAATTTTTTTCTGCATTCTAAGTTCATTCTAATTCCTTTTCTGGGCTGCAAAAATAGGAGTCTTACTGCATAATGACGTAAAAATTAATCTAATATTGGTCTAAATAGTGAGTATTCTTTAGTTTCTAAAAAATAAGCTAAAGAGGAGTATCCGCTTTGGAGTCTGGATTCTGAGTTTGCTCTCATTCCTCTTCTGGGTTAAAAGTGAGTACTTTCTAACAAAATAAAATAAGAAAGAGGGAAGGACGCATTAGAGCACATGGCAACTTTCAGACAAAACAAAAGGCAAAACAATGATGTGAGTGAAGGCGGGGACATCACAGGGTCAAAATCACATTTTTCAGCCTCCCAGTAGAAGTCCAATAAGATGTTGTGAAGGAACGTCATTGGGAGCGTTCAGCTCCCTGGACAACAGGAGGGGTATGGTGGGATGGAGCGTTATGTTTCCATATATTCAAGAGGATTGGAAATACGCAGCCGTTCCAAGTCAAAGCCCATTCAGATACAGAATGTCTTCGGTCGGATAGTTAATAAATTTCAGTCTTCCCTAAAGTCTGTCCGATACATGTCAGTTCCCAATAATCCAATTTAGTTTGGTCGTTTCACTGAGCTGAAACTAGCAACTTCTCTAAGATCAATTCCATCCCGTTTAGAGTCCTCAGCTGGGCTGCGAGTCTCAGCAAGACTCGCATCTTGCTGAGATGTGAGTCTCGTGTCTCTGTCCACACCAACAGTCGAGTGTTCGCTAGTTCGGCCAAGTCTGTCACAAATTTGTCAATAAGCCAAATAGAAAAGCTCCAAACAGCAGAAATCCTGTTATGATGAATAAATCCAGGGTGTCTCCCTGCAGGACAACAGAGCTCTCCTGTGCCCAGTCTTCTCATCGAGAAAATTTCATCAATTGCATTGAGAGACCGGTTGACCCGATTACCTGTGCCTTCCCGTGTCCTAGGTAACGTTGTTTGGCTGGACGATGACACCTGCATCAGAGCTCTGATCAACAGCAGCCGGATGCCTGAAGCAGAGGCTGTTGCCACGGAGACGGAGTCCGGATCCCAGCCTGACGACCTGAGCAAAGGTCAGTGTGGGTCAGAACCTGAGTCGGTGCTTCCTGACACTGCAGTAGTGCATTCTGGGTAAATAGGTCTGTCCGAATGCTGCAGCTCGTCGGGATCGGGGATCTGAGGACGAGGATGATGAAGAGGAGGAAGGTCAAGTGGATGAAGAGGAGGAAGAGGTGAAGAAGAGCAGAGACGATGAGACCAAGACGGCTGGACAGGTAAAGCTTCACCTGGGAGGACAGGAAGTCGTCGACTGACTGATGAGTGACTCAGCTGTGTGTGTGTGTGTGTGTGTGTGTGTGTGTGTGTGTGTGTGTGTGTGTGTGTGTGTGTGTGTGTGTGTGTGTGTGTGTGTGTGTGTGTGTGTGTGTGTGTGTGTGTGTGTGTCAGGTTGGCGACCTGTCGCAAGCGGAGAGAGAGTCTCTGCTGAGGAATGAACTAAGACCTGCCATCAAACCGTTCAAAGGAAACAAGCTGCTGCTGCGCTTCGCCACGCAGGGTAACACACACACACACACACACACACACACACACACACACACACACTCACCTTCCTCCTGAGGAATTTCATTGACTGAAGATGAGTACATGTTCTGCATAGATATACTTTTTAAAATTCCGCTTTTTGTCTGTAAACAGACATTAACATGAGTCCAACATGTTCTGACCCGTTTCCTCCCTGTTCCGGTTCAGATGACAGGAAGGAGCTGGGAGCGGCGCGCCGCAGCAGATACTACATGAAGTACGGAAATCCAAACTACGGAGGCATGAAGGGAATCCTCAGCAACTCCTGGTGAGTCTCCGCCCCCTGGTCGCCATGGCAACTGCAACTCCATACTGACCAGGCCTCGTCCTGCAGGAAGCGGCGGTACCACAACAGGCGGATCCAGAGGGACGTGATCAAGAGCAAGAAGCCTCTGATTGGAGACAGCATGGGACACACTCCGCCATACACACACCGACACTCCGGTAACAGCTCCGCCCACACCCTGTCGTCACCACCTGCGCTGTTACCCACAATCCTCTGCTTCCACCCTCAGCTGACCTGGTCAACCTCCCTGAGGAGCCCATAAAGGAGGAAGAAGAGGAGGAGGACGAAGAGCAGGAGGACGAGGCCGACGAGGACATGGACTCTGACGACAGGGTGGTGGAGTACAAAGAGAGGGGCGGAGCCTCGCGGCCGCTGGGGGCCGGGCTTCGCAGCCGGGCGGAGCGCTCTCCCTCGCCGTGGTCCGAGTCGGACGAGATGGACTATGACCTGGAGCTGAAGATGATCTCCACGCCGTCGCCCAAGAAGAGCAAGAAGATGACCATGTATGCCGATGAGCTGGAGGGCCACCTGAAGAACATCAGGTGAGAACCACTTCCTGCCTCCACGTCCCGCTTCCACTTCCTGTCGCCGAGCCTGGTGACAGGGAGCTGAGCAGAACCGGGTCAGAGGTTTTTTTCATCCAAAACCTGTTCCATGCGAAACAGGAACCGAATCGGGTCGTCAGGCTCTCAGAACCGGGCCAAGGCCTCGTCGCCCCCCAAGGTGACGGACGTCCGGCAGCTGCTGGAGGAGAAGCGTCATAGCGGCTCTGGCGGCTCTGGCAGCAGGCAGCGCTCCCCGGTGGCCAGCAGCAGGAAGACAGGTGAGGCGTAGAACCAGGTGTTCCAGCTGCTGCGGCGGCTAGGTGGGACTGACCTTTGCTGACTTTTGCTGACCTTTACTGACCCCGCAGACGTGAGGCAGCGTCTTGGGAAGAGGCGCTACTCACCCGACAGGCGGCGCTCAGCCTCGCCTCCGTCCCCCAGGGACACACCCCCGCCCCGGGAGCCAATCAGCAACGTGCACCGCAGACTGGGCGTGGCCAGCCAGGACAGCAGAGGACCAAAGGCTTCGGTAGACAGGAAGACGAGTACGACCTGCCACTTCCTGTTTTTATTCCATTTTATGTTTAGACCTTCTTGTAGAAATGTGCTGTGACCTTTGCTACCTATATTAAAACTCAGAATGGTTTGGAGCAGATTATGATAGCTCAGTTTTATGTCTGAGCGTCCTGGTCGGTTTGTTAAAGTTCACTTCCTGTCTGATCCTTCCACTTCCTGTCTGTCTGTAGGCGCTCTGTGGAGCAGGCTGGGTTCCGCCGCTGGCGACGACGGCAGCAACAATGCCGGGCATCACGAACGCAGGCAGAGCAGCCGCCCAGAGCGGCAGGACGCCAGCCGGAGGAGGCGGGGTGACGGGGAAGAGGAAGAAGAGGAGAGAGAGGAGGAAGACGACTCTACGCTGCAGAGGGTCTGGGGCGCCATGATCAAACAGAAACAGGAACGCCGCAGCCACAAGATGAAGAAGAGCCGACTGGACAACCTGCCGTCGCTGCAGATCGAGATCAGCCGCGACAGCAGCGACGACTCGGACGCTTGAACCCAGGGGGTGGTGCCTAGCACCTCCACCTGCTGGGAGCGGAGCCTACCACCCCTTCACCTGCAGGGGGCGGGGCAGAGCGCCGTCACTCACCATTCCTGTTACTGAGGAGGAGCTGGACTTCCTGTTCACCGGGAACACAATGAGACTTGGGGCAGATCTGAGAACGCAGGACCCTGATGGGACTGCGCCCCACTGCCTGAACCCTTCCTGCTTCTGTTTGTAGATTTTTATTTCCTTCCTGTGTGACGCCATCAGCTTCCTCTTCCTCTGTGGGACGGGATCCAGGAACCGGGTCAGGTTGCCAGGTCACCAGGTCCACAGCAGCTGTTGAGCCCGTGGAGCCGCTCTTCCTCTCACGATTATGATGATGATGATGATGATCCAGGTCAGAGTTAAAACAGTGGGACAGCAAAGCAGCCAATCAGCTTTTAGCCTGATGCTGATTGGCTGCTCAATAAACTCTGTTTTGCCTGATGTTTGACCTCTACATTCTGCCACTCTAACCACAAAGCAGAGCAGAACTGTGAAGTGGGAGGAATATGATTCATTGTTTGATTTTTCTTAATAAAAATCTGGAAAGCAAGGATGTGTCTTTGTATTCAAATAATTTGCTTTAATATTTAAAAATGTTAGACAAATGTATAAAGTTATTTCCAAATTCTGATATTTTAAAAACTAAAATAACTTATTTTTCTGCAGATATTTGTCACAAAATTCCATTCTTAAATTATTGAACTTTTTTTTTCTTTTGCCTATCTACTTTAAACATTTTATTTCACTTCCATTTATTGTAATACAAAAATATTTAAAGTTTTCAGTTATTTTCTGTCTTCTTGCTTTTTATTTAGTATTTTTTTCTTTTTGAAGATATTTGTTTCAATATATCTTTAGAGGAAGTAGCATTAATTTCTTGATTTTATGTTCCGGTTTTGTGTCATCTTTTAAAATTCATTAGTTTTTATTATTATTATTATTAATACTTTAATGACTATGTTACTATACTTACTGTTACACTCATATTGAACATATTTAATGTTTAATGAGGCCTCCCCCTATCAAGGTCCACGCGCTAGTCGCATGCGCTTACGTCGGCCAATCGTCTAAGGCGGCCGTTTCTTACACAACTGTTAAGCTCCTTCACTCCGATTGGCTTCTTTGTGTGTTTGTTATTCTTTTGAACCAACAGAAATCCAAAGCCCGGGAAGCACTGCGTGTTCTCAACCAATGAGGCACCGTGACGTCACTGTAACTACAAGTGAATTTCATGTGACGTCTGAGGCCTGTAGCTCAAGTCGCCATTTTCTTGCCATCGAAAACCAACCGAGAAGACCCAACTGACGGCGACGGAAAAATACCGTCGAGTTGGGCCATAGTTCTTCATGGTTGTCGGCCCAACCGTTATCTCGATGAATTAATGGACTGTCTGCTGCTACGTAGTAATGCTATTGGTCCGGCTGCTGTAGCTTGGTTCGGGTGTGGAAGCAGGAAGATGGAGGACCAGGCGGCCCGGGAAGACGCCTGCAGGGAGTACCAGTCCTCGCTGGAGGACCTGACGTTCAACAGCAAGCCGCACATCAACATGCTCACCATCCTGGCCGAAGAGAACATCCAGTTCGCCAAGGATATCGTGGCTATTATTGAAGCTCAAATCAGCAAGGTTTTTATGATCATAGCATACTTTATTATCAGTTTGTGTATGTGGGTCAAACATGGCGGTGTTGTGGTTAGCGGCGCTCTTTGGAGGCCCAGCAGAACCTCCAGCTTCTTTGTACGGAAGCAGCTCAGTCAGGCTGTCTGAATAAACCTCTGGTCCTCCGGCTAGCTCGATGTGGTCCTGGCTTCAACAGAAAGCCGCCTTATTTATTTTTTAATAACATTTTACGGTTACAGAAGTTTCTTAAACAAAAACAGACGTTAGTAGTAAGTGGTTCTAACCGGTTCCAGGTCCATTCTGACTTCAAAGTTCGGTTTCAACCATCTACTTTCTAAGTTGTTTCAAACAGGAAGTGATTAATTTCCATGTGGCAACACCAAGAAACTAAGAGGTCAGAGGTAACAGGAAGTGGCAATGAAGGCCTCCATAGGCGGACTGTAATCCTAGAGACATGAGAGAAAAAGGTCATATAGACTTTATCATTATTATACATTATGGTCATTTATGAACACAACTGAGTAAAGTAACAATATGTCAACTTATTGTTCTTAAACAGTATTATCAAAGACATTACTAAATGTTACATATAAATGTTTTTGGTAAACAGATGATTTTATTCCTGAGTAACATATTAAAATTTCTGCTTTAATATTTAAAATTATGTAATCAGACGGACAAATAAAGACTTAATAAAAGTTTCTAAATGACCTTTTTCAATATTAAACTAATACAGCAGCTAATGTTTATATATTAGAGCAGGGTACAGTAGTTATATATAAATATAATATACATTTTTCCTGTATGTTTAAATGATTTTCATCAGAATGAGCAGATAGAAAATAGCAAAGCTGGTTTAGAAACAAGAGGTCTCACTCTGAGTTTGTCTGGTGTATTCTGGGTAAAACATGTTTGTTTTGTTATACTTTAATATTAATATTCAAGTAAAAGTTACTGAAGTAAATGTTATTAGTTGCTGCAGTGAGCAGCTGCTCTCTGGTGTCAATAAGCTGCTAACGAGGCTCAGATAGAAACCTGACTGACAAGGCAGATTATCGACAACCTAAATTCTTAATAAACCAACAATGAACAAAGTTGGGATCCTGTTGGACCCTAAAATCTGAAACCAATCTAAAGTTAACTGGTCAGATTCGGATGAGGTTCTGGTCCGAATGGATTTAACGGATCAGAAGGTGATCCGTTGAACCAACAGCTTAGGTTCACTAATGATTAATTCAAGAAACAAAAATCTTAGCTTTGCCAGTAGTAAACTGCTTAAAAGCATAAAATATATTAGCAAAACCTCAACAAAAACAATTTGTGGAAGCTATTACTCCACCCATAAACATAAAACAATGAAGCTAATCCTAAACTGCTAAACATAAAAATATTGCAGAAATTGCTAAATACATTCAAAATTATCAGATGCTTCTGCTACACACAAATACTAACTTTTCACTACTAACTACAGAAAATATACTAGCAGAAGCTAACGTTAACCAAAAATTAATGGAAATGCAAAACACAGAAAAAAATTAGACAGGTTGGATGTCTTCAGTGTCTGGTTGCCTGGCAACGAGTTCTGCTGCTCAGGTCCAACATCGCGGTTCTGTTCTGGTTAAAGTAACATTACAAAATAGACAGATCCAGATCTGAGTAAGAACTGAAATCAATGTGTTTGCTGATTGGCCCCGGGGCCTCGCTGGTTTGAACCCCTCTACTGGGACCAGTTTGGTTCTGAGGTTGTTTACTGGTTTTCTGTTTGCTGTATATTTTTATAAACATTGTAAAATATGCTCCAGAATGTGGATGATGTCAATATTTCCGAGCAGACCTTGGTTCTGAATGTCAGTGATAGTGACAGGTTAGAACCCTGGCGGTGGTTCTGATTGAGCCGGACCACATCCTGCCCCCCCCCCCAGTGTTTGATTCGTCTGCATGAATGAATGAATTCACTCGTTCATCTGGATTTTCTCTATTTTCCTGGAATGTGACTGCTGGTTAAACATGTTGATAATAAAATCTGTGAAATGTGCTTTTTGTCATTTTTTCTTTGTGGGTTTGACTCTGGTCTGTGTGGCTCTGAGCGCTGCAGAGCTTAAATCTGGGTTCATAACTGAAAGTTAAGGTTCAAAACCCGAAAGGGTAAAAACAAACCAAGCAGAGCGCGCCATCGCCTGGGTAACGTACAAAGAGGGCCAGCGCCAGCAGGGGCCCTCTTTGGAGGTAAACGCTGTCCCTGGACCGACGCCCCAGATCGCTATGACGACGGATTACCACCACAACACTTGCAATCAGAACCGACTGAAGATCTCGGTCTTGAATCTTTTTGGACTTTTTGTTCGTGAAAGAAGAACCAAACCATGGAGGCTGTTTTTAAAAAAAATTTTTTTTTTTTTTTTGTCTTCTGTTTTTTTAATTCAGATTTTTTAAAGTGGATTTTGCTTGGGAACTTTGTGGGTTTTTTTGTTGTTTTTTTAATATATTTTTTTTGTTCATTTGTTTTTTTTTAATTATTTTTATTAATTTGTTCTGAAATGTTGTGTAACCCCTGCTGTTGTCTAAACTTGTTGAGTTCTCTTATCGCTCCAGGCGCCGGCCGCTGAGAAGCTCCCAGTTTTGTACTTAGTGGACTCCATAGTGAAGAACGTTGGAGGAGAGTACCTTGCAGTGTTTGCTAAAAACCTAATCGCTTCATTTATTTGTGTCTTTGAAAAGGTAAAGTCCCACTAGCTGCCGTGTCTTTAAGTTCCGCCCACATGGCGTCCTGCTGTTGCTTGTTGGTTGTGGGCTGAGGCGGGCTGTGGCCAAGGCACCCAGCGCTCTGTGCTCTGTGTGTAGGTGGATGAGAACACCAGGAAGAGCCTGTTCAAGCTACGCTCCACCTGGGACGACGTCTTCCCGCTCAAGAAGCTGTACGCCCTGGACGTCCGGGTCAACTCCCTGGACCCGGCCTGGCCTATCAAGCTGCTGCCGCACAACTTCAACTCCACCTCCAGCATCCATGTCAATCCCAGGTTCCTCAAGCAGGTGGGTATGATGCTGGGGCAACGCGGTCTTCCACCGCAGGAACCAGCAGACCTCTGATCTCTGCTGGTTCTGGACCGAGAACGTTTTCAAAGACACGATCCTACCCAGGGCTCCTTTCCAGGTCCTACTGTAAATATGTCAAAATCAGACAAAACTAACCTAATGTAACTTCATAACAAGTTATAGGAGCTTGTTTTGAGTCAATAACTACTGGCAGATTTCTTCACATGCATGAAATTTTCCCATGTTGTAAGTGAAGAAATGTGCCATAATTTTATAAGACTAAAAATGTTAATATCTTGTTGAAAAGTTACTTTTATATCAGACGTTTGAAGTAGACTTGGGCATTTATTATAGGATTCATTGTGAAAATAATTCTGATCAGAACTGGATCAGAACCAATCTGACCAGTTTCTCAGTGGGAAACGATTAAGAACGAAGCATTTTGGATCAGGAAATGTTTTGTCTTCCTCCCCTGATGACGGAGTTTAGATCTGATGGTTCTTCTGGGCCCAAAATGTTTTATTCCAGCTTTAACCTCCTGGTTTAATAACGTCTGATCTTCCTCTTCCTGCTTGCAGCCTGAAGAGAAGGCCCAAACGCAGCCGGTCCCGGCCAAACCGGCGCCAGTGGCCCCAGCACCCCCTCCCCCTCCCTTGCCGGTCCCCCAGACACCGCCGGCCGGGCTGACCCAAGAGCAGCTGATCCGGCAGCAGCTGCTGGCCAAGCAAAAGCAGCTGCTGGAGCTGCAGCAGAAGAAGATCGAACTGGAGCTGGAGCAGACGAAGGCCCAGCTGGCAGGACAGGTCCGCTTATGGTTCTGAACCTCAGAGTTCTGGGTTTGGTTCTGAACCTCAGACTGGACCAGAGTCTGGATCCAGTTCTGGTTCTGATGTCTGTAA